CGAATACAGTCCAGAGATGAGAGTAACGGATGGAAAACACAAATATCTTCACTCCGTCACTATCATTTTGCCGGTCTGGCCAAATGCTTCTTCACACTACGTTTGAAGGACCCCATGTTATAGAGGGGAGGGAATACATGCGCCGGGAGTTGGTTCCACAATTTGATGGTTCGGCATAAAAAACTAGGTCTTTAGAATAAGTATAAATTGTATATCTGTGAAGAAAGAAAGAAATAAATGAAATAAAAAACTTATTCAAATTGCAATTACGCGAGCAGGCCGTGTGGAAAGCAAGCCTAAAATTAAATTATGACCATTGCCCGTGGTCCACTCAGGTGATCCAACCAGTTGGTCCACAGGCAAGAAGCGAAAATTTTGTTTTCCTATTATTGGTTGCCTAGCGACGTTTTGCGTAGCATTGTTACATTAGACAGTTGGAGTAGAGCTCTTTGTGCAAGAATTCGTCCAGCAAGGACTGCCACCTTACCCTGAATTTCGGTTTTGAAGGGTGAGGGTGTTGGTAAAATTTCACACACATAGGGTTTTTTAACTTATCTCAGGGTAACGAACGCGGTGGCAGTGCCCCTCAGATCTGTGATTTAACGTTCAGAGCGGTAATGCAACTTATTCATAGGCGTGTCGCTTACCTTTCCACCAGGCGCGCGACTTGTCGTCCCATTCACTTGGTATTATAAAAAAAAAATTCCAATTTGGCTAGAGTAGAGTAACCTATATATCAAGTGAATATTCCCTGTGAATATAACCTAATGGATCTACAACAAGAAGAAACCTTCAAGATTGTCTACGTATCAATAAGACGGACAGACGACAGCATTACCGAATCTTCGTGTGTCGCCCCGGAGTCAGTCCCGCTGAGCTGTGACAACGAAATATGTCGGTTCGTGCAACGTGTGTATTCAGTCCTGCTAAGACAAGAAATCGTCAAGAGTTGTGAAGCCTGAACATCAACAAGGGTCCCGTAGCAGCAAGGACAAGTAAGCGACCAGTTTTAGTTCGACTATATTTATTTATTGAAAGAACTACCCTATTTTAAAATGAGCACTAAAAGCTTGTAAATGGCCGAGCGCATGCTCATCAAATTTGATGGCACTCAATCTAAATTATTTGAGTTCTTAGACAACTGTGATAAGGCTATGAAACTTCTAAATCCTTAATATAAAGATATATTGTTTTCCGTCATTGAAACTAAAATCACCGATAAGGCAAGAGCATTCGTAAGAAACAGAATTTCCAGATTGGGAATCGCTGAAGAAACGTCTGCTTGATGCTTTCTCTGAATTGAGAACGCTAGGCTAATGACATCTGGAATTGCATTCCTGTAAGCAACTCCACAAAGAAAACGTCATGTCATTTGCTAACCGTGTAGAATCATGCTATATTAAGGTGATCAATTCGCTGGATCATACTTTAGAAAAAGGCAGTAGAAGTGCGTGTGTTAACCTAATTAAAAACGAAGCACTCAATATATTTTTAAACGGTCTAAATAAAGACCTCACGATTTTGGTAAAGACAAAACGACCAGACTCATTAGACAACGCAATCGCTATAGCTCTTAATGAGGAGGCAACAATTATAGTCAAAACTAGAAATAAACCGATTTCACAATGGGCATACCAGTATCAATCAAATTCACGAGTATTTCATACAAATTCATTTTGTAAATATTGTAAAAAGTCAAACCATACAAGCGATAAATGTTACAAGTTAAAAATTAAAAATCAAAATTTTCAATGTCAAAATCGTAACACTAATTACAGTAATCATAATAGCCAACGAACTCATAACAAGCCAATTAAGAGAAGCGCGTCCAAGAGTTGCAAAAAAATGCAACTTTCTTTGAAATGAATTTAATTTAAAATAAAAATTACAATAAAATTATTAAACTAAAATTATATGTCTAATGATCGATGTTAGAATCAAAAGTGACGATGGCACACGTCCGGTTTCCGAAGGTGGCTTGTGATGTCGTCACGTTCCGCTGCATCGAAGAATTTAAGTATACATACGATGATTATGTCAGTGAGTTAAAACTTAAGCTTCAAAATAGCCTTGAAACTGCCAAAAATCATATTGAAAAATCTAAGGAAATTAGAATTAAAAATAAGAAACACAATCTACACAATCTAGTAACATTTAAAGTAAGTATATTTATTAAACGAAACTCATACTTAAGGTAAATGCAAAAAATTGTGGCCTCATTATGAAGGTCCTTATGAAATAATTGAAATTAATTCTAGTTGTAATTCGACAATTGTAGTAAAAAATAAAAGGAAGTTGGTACATAGCAATAGATTAAAGTTAGCTTATAAAAAAAAATATTGTTGCAGGATGCTGCTAGTAATACTGTGGGTTCTGTCGACCTCTTTTGTCTATTCTTATAATAATAATAATAATAATGATGATCTTGTGCAAGTGTTTCCTTTGAAGACAATGCCTGGTCTTTACTATGACCACGTTGGTAAAATAAGTTATTTCGAAAGTTTTTGGAACTTAATAGCCAAAGTAAATCTAGTTGATATTGAAAAGAAATTGAATCTTGTAAAAGATGTTTATGAAGAAACAAGGAAACTTTGCCAAACTGAAAAATTTTCTTCTATTTGAAATTGCAAGACTTGAAATGGATTCAATAATTAGTAAAATAATTCCTCACGTTATTACTAAAAATGAATCCTTAAAAGATTAAGTTGGTCATAAAAAGGAAAAGGAGCCTTCTTTTCGTCCAAGAAAAAAAAGAGGTTGGTTTGATGGTATTGGACACATGTTCAAAACAGTCTTTGATACTTTAGCTGCTGATGATGCTCAACATTATGAAGAAGCTTTTAACAAAATCAGCCATGATAAAAACGAATTCGTAAAACTCTTAAAACAACAAGCGCATGTTGTGCAGAGTACAATTATAAACTTAAATTCTTTTATATACATTTATATACAAATTATAATAATAATTTAAGGATTTTTAATGAAAACTTAAAGAAATGGAATATTACATTAAAACATACACTAATGAAACGATAAATTTGGAAAATCAAGTCATTATGGTTGAACATCTGGAATTGCTTGATTTAATTGCAAACGAAGTTGACAAAGAGTATTCTACTTTAATTAACATTATTTTGTTTTCTAAAACTGGAATACTAATTCCTAATATTATATCTCCCTCTGAACTTCTTAATTCCTTACAATCTGTTGTGTCATTTACCAAGCAATACTAAATTCCCAATTGATTTGAACCGTAAAGAAATTCATAAACTTGAAACAATCGCAACGTTGAGGGTATTTCTAATCAATGAAAATTTAGTCTTCATTATTTCCACTCCTTTCATTTTTGACGAATGGTTTGATACGTATAAACTAATTAGTTTACTAATACACAGAAATGATGATTACTTCTTTTTAATTTTACCAGAAGAAAGCAGCCTATTCATGTCAATCTCAGAAAATAGAATGTATTACGTAACTTTGAAAAATTTGGATAATTGTAAATTACTTTCCAAGAATTTGTCTCAATGCAAATGCCATTTATTCTAGTCACGCAAAGCCTACTTGTCAAATTGATATATTTCTGAATAATAATAATCCAGAAAATTGTGATATTAGAGTTACAAAGGTTGTACGATAACTATTTTATAAATTAAACGATGTAAATCATTGGCTATATACGCTGCCAAATCCCACAGTAGCTACAGTAAAATGCGAAATTAATAAACCTAGGGATGTAATGTTACAAGATACGGGTATATTAAGTTCAAATAAGAATTGTAAAATATTTACTAGTACACAATATACAATTTTAACCACATTTGTTGTTAATTTGGATAATGAAATCGATGTAACTATTTTCCCTACTTTTGACATTAATGAATGTATAAAGTATAAGAAATTTAACCTTACAAAAATTGATCTTATAACATTGGAAACCTACAAACTTGATTATGAATCTATTAAGTTGACAAGTCACAAACTAGATGAATTAGAAAAACTTAGAAATGATTTTGAGTATGATAATTATATGTACAATCAAATAACTGGTGAAAATGTGTATCCACATATTATATTTACTGTTATAAAATTGTTAACATTGTATGCTCTTTATAGATTTTTCAAACATTTGTATATGTTGTATAAGTACGGTCGTAAATATCACGATGGAAGATCTGATTGTTGTTCTTCTATAACAAATTGTATAACTTTTAATCTTTTAATCCGATTGTAATAACTCCGATAGTAAATGCTGAAACGCCATTGCGTAGAAGTACTAGAATTTCGAAATTAAAAACATAGAAAAAAAGAAATGTGTAATTATAAAATTGTAAATTAAGTTTATATTCGAAAATAATTTTATTATTTTCTCATCTTAAGGGGGAAGATGTAATGTGACTACAACCACATTTCGTCATTTTAATCATTGAACGAAACTTGTTATCACTAACGACGTACATTTTCTAGATTTCCACAGAAATGCAGGTTGTTTCATCATCTTAATTGTTGTTTGATTGCTTTAGATATCAATTATTTGTATATAAACCATACAAACAGCATTTGGAGCATTTCGGTTCTAATTCAGTTCACTTGGAATTAATAAACCAATAACTAGTCGCTAACACTTGTTTTATTTCGTCTGCGACCCTTTACAGTTTAGTTTCTTGAAAATGTTTTAATTAATGATAAATTACCCTTACCTATGGACTTGATAACGATATAAAAGGATCATCTCCTTAGTGGCAGTCAGTTGATTTTAGAGTGTAGGCACAATAGTTTTCGTCTGATTTTCGATTGGCCTTCTACTTGTTAATAAACAGTTGTCGTGGATTCGGTGTCCATCATTTGAGAACTCCGAACTTTTGTTGTTTCGTAGTTATTGTTTCTACCTAAGGCACCCTTAAAATTTCTTATTCATTCTTAGATGAATGGACCTACTAATGAGTGTAATTTGCTTGCCCATTAATTAAATTTGAAGCACCGTCTCCATTGTTACAGAAGTCATAATGACATCACAAGGAGAAGATACCGACGAGGACTACCTTGACGATCCGATAAAGCTTATTGATTTCGAACAGGCGCGAGTGCGGACGGAACCGCACCAAAAATATGGTGAGTTACGCAGTCCAACTTTACACTTTACACTTGACACTCAACGTATAGTGCGTGATGTCACGCATGTTATTATGCACAGGCGACGACCACGAATAGCCACGCACCACTCCCGAGAATCGTCTAACGGTGCGTGTCCACCAGCGGATGTGTGATTGCAAGTTGTTTTTAACCGACTTCAAAAAAAGGAGGAGGTTCTCAATTCGACTGTATGTATTTTACACGAGTGTCAGCGTGCGACTCAACATAATGCATATAATTATATCACAATACCCACTGTCCGCCACATCCCTCCGGCCGCGTAGGAATTTGGAAACTGGAGAAACGCGGTTCATTCGGCGTCGGGAAGTGAACGTACCTTACTGCTCCGCCGCCAATGAGGAGATTTGGTAGTCGGCTTAGAGTCGGCGGCTCAGCGGTGGCAACCGTTAGTCGTGCGGAGCGCAACGGGAAGTGGGCGTGCCTACAGCTCCGGTACCTATCTGGAAAATAGGGAGGGTGCTGCACGTGCACCCGGGGCGGCTCACCTAAGGCATTAGCCTTACAGAGAACCGGATGAAGTACGTGCAAACGTGCTGATCCGGGGTTAGGATCTGACTTAGATGGTCCCTGTGCAAGCTCGCTCGCACAGGTCATAGCGCCCTTCTCGCATAACCAAGAGATTGATAGGGAGGGGCACTACAAATAAAATTTAAGTAGAAAGATATGGTACTGCCCGATAAGCTACCTTGGCTCTATTTACCGAGTCGATAAATAGGGAGTTCTGGGGAGACTACAGACTCGCCGGCAAGAACAGCGGGCGTCCGGGCCAAGTCTTCCTTCAGTGATACCTCTTCACAGGCGTCTCTGTCGAAACCGGACTTGGATATGTACTCGCTGGGGTTTGTGATTAGTTGTAGGGATGAACACGTTCGTCTGCCCCGGTAGCAAGTGGCCGGAGAGTTCATCATGCGCACAGCTAGCGCGTCTTAGTAGCGGTCTAGTTGAGAGTCTGAGTGAGGTAAGGAGACGCGCGAGACGCGTGAATTGCCCTTTAAGTTCGAAGCTATGTCTGGACATTGTCACAGAACACTGCGACCGACATATCTGGCTACGTACTAGCCCGGAGAGCTACCAGCTGGAGCAACTGGAGAGACGCTTCGGCGTCAAGAGGTGAGCGTGCCTACAGCTCTGCCACCAAAGAGAAGATTCGGTAGGAGACTTTAGATTCAACGGCTTAGCCGTGGCAACCGTTAGTTATGCAATACACAATGGGAAGTGGGCGGGTCTATAGCTCCGATACCTATCTGGAAATTAGGGAGCGGGGCGGCTCACCGGGGTCGGGACCTAAACCTGGAAGATCCCTGTGCTTGCACAGATTATAGTGCTCTTTCCGCATAACCGAACCAAGAGGATGATAGGGAGGGTCACTATAATCAAAACACATGAAGATATGGGAGGTGTCCGACTAGCTCCGGACACTATCGCAGGATACTGCAACGTCACTTTCTAATGTCTTTTCCACACTAACGACTGACATAGTACCTAGTTGATTATCACTAGTATCAGGTTTCTTACCACGGTATAACTTCTTTTTATTTTCCCGATATTTCGGAACGGTTGCACGCTCCATGGTCACGGGTTGACTGGACTGCGGCAGATGACAGCTTTATGAGCAGACATATCTGTCTACCCTCTTGCGCTGTCGACGACTACCTTCATCGCGATTTGTTGTGGCGTTACCATTGTCACTCACTTTTTTCACACAAACCACACTTATTGTATCCACACGCGAAACTGAACTCGAGGTGTTTTTGTTTTTATTACTGCACGCACTAAGGACCGGATTCCATGGACTGGACAGTTTAAAACCATCATCACGGTTAAATGTTTTGTACTTCGTGATCTCGATGGCTTCTCGTACCAACCGTGGTATGTAGTGACGTCCTGTCGAGAGTACCTGGGGGCTATGCAACTCGATCCTGTGGTTAGTGTCAGTCTGTGTGAGATGTTGTGCTATAGCCGACTTCTGTGCATCATTGTTTTTTACTGCTCGAATGTGTTCCTTCATACGATCGACTATTGTTCGTTTAGTCTGACCGATATACGAGCTCCCACAACTGCAGTTCACTTTATAGACACCCGGTGTTTGTAAAGCTATTATAGCCAGGTCGCTAAGGAAGTTTTCCATAAAAACTGTTTTCACCCCCTTAACCAAAATAGGAAAAATGTTACGTTCACCAAAAGACCACCTTCCTTTACAAACACCGGGTGTCTATATAGTGAACTGCAGTTGTTAGCACTGTTTTCCAATTATAATGCTTAATTAATTTATTGAAGATTGGTGCCGTCTGTCTGTCGAACATAGGCTTTATATATCCGGCCTTCATCGAATTAATGTTAGAATAGGAGAGGCTAGGACTAGGATGTTGCAAATGGAGATTATTTAAATTTATTGTGATAGCTATTTTTGGAATATTTATTATGATCCTCAGTGATCGTCAGTACATACTTCAATGGAAAAGATTTAATTAAGATGGCCATCTCGATGTAAAGTTCCTTTGCAATTATATTATTATTATCATCATCTGAATTTCCATATCATGATGGTCTGTTTTAAAGACAATAGAAATGATTTCTTTCTCCTAAATTAAAAAAAAATTGGATCTCGTCGAACGTCATGAAATCGTAGGTACAGACTGACAACTCTGGTATACTATTCCGGAATACTAGGAATTTACGAAATTTTTTTTCGATTTATTTTTTTAGTGATTTGGGTTCAGTTTCGGATATAGAATGGCCTCTGTAAATATGGCGAGAAGGCAAATCTACACATTGTATAAAGAGCATCTTTTATGTGTATATAGAATAGAACAGATAATGGAATGCAAACAAATTTATTTTTACTACCTTACCTAATACATGGTCGGAGAAAATAAACGATTTTGTGATTATTATTACGATTTAGGCCATGGCACCTAATGCCTTGGAGTAACTGCGAATTAACCACAATGATTGTTTTTTTATCTGGCTATTGCTTATGTACCTATAGCAACGTGTGTTGAGTTGAACGTATTTGTTTTTTTCACAGAAAACAAATTTCAACACGACGGTTACGACCCTGCAGACTCCGACGGTGATGTGCTGATCGAAAAAGAACCTTTACCGTCACTCGGGAGATTCGCTGTTACCCTCCCGGTAACCTTCTTTGATTATACTAGAAATGTTAGCTTACTAAACAAGTGTAAGCCTTTCCTGATCAAAGTCGTGGATATAAATAAACATCAATGGTACTTTAAAAAGCAATTCCAAATATTGGCTAACAATATTATCACCAATAATACCGAAGTAAAAAGAAAAGAAAGCGCTTTAGACGTTGATACTGAAAAAGTAGAGTTCAATATGCGTAGTGAATCAATAAAACCTAAGATTAGACCGGTAGATATTACTGCTTATGCAGATTATAATAAAGTCATTAAGAGAAACTCTTCATCGCAACAAATTAAGCATGTAAAACATGACGAAAAGCCCTGTTGTATGCCGAAATCTTTAGGGTTCAAGAAGGTAGAATATATAGATTTTAAGAAGAATGTTGGTCTTATAGGATTGAAGATATCGTCCACAGTGGATTTAAATGTTTCTAATGCCAAAGTAGCGAAGGCGAGACCTAAAGATAAGAAAGAAGTACAAGCTACCGCCGCTAAATGCGGGGACTGTGCAAAACTTCAAACAACATTTACAAGTGATAAAATAGTAAACAAAACGAAACTACTTTTGAAATTTGACCAAGACAATCTAAAATTGAGTTCGACGAATAAAAACCCTAGTGATGGCAACGAATGTGTTAAGGAGCCCTCAATAAGTTTAAATGATAATAAAGTAAATAAAGAATTTAATGTAAAAGATAGTGCAAACGATATTTTTTTTATGAATGGATATGTCGATTCCAATACAGAAAAAAACGATAAAATTAAAAAAGCTGAAAAAAATCCTTTACTAAAAGAAATACTGACAACTTCTACCAGTAGTCCGAAGAGCAACAGTTTACTTGGGCAGCACGTTAAGTTTGATCCTGGCATTTTAACTACTAAAGGAGAATTAGATAAGAAGGCAAAGCTTTCATTCGGTTCTCAAAAAATCTCTAAAAAGCTCACAGACTTATATATAAAAGACAACAAGAAAATAAAAAGTACGACACAAACTGTAGGTAAGACCAAGGTGCAGAGCGAAATTAAGAAAAAAAAGAAGAAAGCAGTAAATGAAAAGAAAGACGATGGTTTAGGTGCATCAAAATATTCTCTAGGAATGAATGTGGCTTTAAATAAAGACAATATTTTGAAAATGGTGATATCTAAAAAGCCAAATACTTCGCTTAACGTCAGCCAAAACGTTGATCCCGTGTGGGATATAAAAAATCTTACTACCGGAGATCAAACAAGCAAAACTGCGGAAAAAATGCAAGAGTCGACGTGTCGTGAAGAGCTACATAACATTTATGCTAATATACCTACGGGAAAATGTACACCGAATAATGATTTATTAAACAATAATAATGTGTTCAATTACTATCAAATATCATCAAAAAAATATCCAACATTAACGAATCCATCAATAAATCCTCAAGTTTCTCAGCACAATTTCATATATCGAACACCTGCGTCCGAAAACAATCAGCCAAGTTCATTTTGTGAAGATAACTTTGGTCAGTCAAAGAATATTAATGCTCCGTTCCCAAAAACAAACAAACCCGAATCGCATGTGATTTCAGGGGCTCCTTCTCAAATATCTATGCACATCAATTCAAATAATGGCAATAATGCCGTTTTGGTACAAAATATTGCTATAAAGGACAATTCTGTGATACAAAGAACTTCTTTACCCCAAGTAACAGCTAAACACCACAATCTCCCTGAGATTGTGCAGAAAAAAGCTACTTCTCAGGGCACAAATATGCAAACCGCAAACAATGTCTTAGATGCGGATAAACACACGGAAACAAAAGAATCCAGCCGTGCTTTAGCCTTTACTGATAGCACAACAAATGTGAGACAAGTGAATTCGAAAGAACCTGCTTCAAGAGCTTATGGAATGTTTGATTCAAAAGGTAACGTCATTAATCGTATGAATAATCAAGAAATCTACGTTAGGCGCGCCGTTTTTAAAAGTAATGTTATGAATAACATTACAGAAAATTCAAAGGCTATCAATCACGATTTTGCCCAGGTGGGTTCAGAGAGACATAACACGCCTGACATTATTGTTTTTAACCACCAGTCGACCTCTAGTCCTATTAACCACAATGAAAAACATAAAATTTATGTGAGGCGCGCCGTTTCTAAAAGTAATGTCCATGAAGAACAGTCTCGGATTGCTGTCGATCAAGTTCCTACTCAAGTTGTTCCACAGAGACGTAACACATCTGAATGTGCTATAATTAACCACTTATCGAACCCTAGTATTAGTCACAGTGAGCATCGAGAAATTATTGCAAGGTGTCAAAGTGATACTACTTATAGTGCAAATATTGGAAATAATTCTGCGACTACAAATAAAGTCAATTCTAAAGGATATTGTAATGGACCTAACAGTATGCCGGTAATGGCACCGTTGGCTGCACATTTGAACGAAACTCGGGTTCCAGCTCAAGCCAAGGGTGAATGTCATGGAACCAACAGTAATCAGAAAGATATCTCATCTTTTGCGCAACAGAGATTTCCAATGACGTATACAAATAATATGGTAAATTTTGAACGTAATATGAATATGAATCAACTCTTTAATGTAAATGAATCGCATTATAACAATGCTATGCCTTTATACCAGCCAGTGCCTCAGCAGCACGTTGACTATCAACCTCAACCGATACAAACTTGCATAGGAAACAGGCCGATAGAAGGTCAAAATAGACCCACACGAATGCAAAGAAGTATGATGAATATTACATCTGCCGATCAAGGTTTACCTTACCCCCATACGATGCAAAATGCAGTTCCTATGAATACCGTACGTTGTGCACCTGTTTACAATAGTTTACGTCGAGATATGAATCTACACAATGATGGATCGTATTACAATTCAAATCAATCAAATGCTTTGTGGTCCTATTTATATCCACCAGTCCATACTACAGGCACTTTTTTTGCACCTACAGCAACTGCACCACCTCCACCTCCTCCACCAGTCCATACTACAGGCACATTTTTTCCACCTACAGCAACTGCACCACCTCAACCTACGTTTATACCATCTTCTGTTACTAACAGTTCTTCAATAATTGGTTGTAATAACAGCGGTATTATCAGGAAAATCAATATAGTCGCTGTACCAGTTACAGACAAACAAAAACCGTCGAACAATTCCTCTGAAATTTCCAATCCTGTAGATAATCCGGGAGATAAACCTGTGAATAGCAAACTAGAAATGCTTGAAGAACTTTCTAAAGTTATAATGGATATCCCTCCAGACAGTCCAGTAAAAGAAAAAAATCGTCCCATTTATCCACTTACAAAACCAGACTTTTCAAATAGATCGCATCAATCTATAAATATAAATACTCAAAGTGAATCAATACCGACAACAGATAAGCTCAAAGTAGGGACATTAAACTCAACAAATATGGTAAAGAGTGCCCCTGACCAGAATGCACCACTAACATTGGCCATGAGTGAACATAATATTCCTACACAAGCTAAGTCAAATGTTTCATCTTCAAAGCTGTGCAGCCCGACAAAAAGACCATCAACACAAACAACAGCAAGTCCTTCAAAAAATGTGAAAGGAGGTTCCTGTACAGAGATATCAACGGAAAAACATAATACAACGCTTGCTTCGTCGCCTAGCCCTCAAATACAGAATTTCAAAAGACTTCACTCTACAACAGAAGCTCAGGACAAGTGTCCTGAGATGAGGAAAATTTTATCGAATAACCCAAGTGTAAGACCGGGCCCTTTGTCAAAGAAACCGAAACTTTCTTTATTCCAGAAACCTTCTTCACCGAAAAGAGATCCGAGGGGGAAGTTAGTTTTGTCAGCTGCTGACACAGGATATTCGCCACCAATACTGCCTATTTTAACTTATGAGAAAACTCTTGAATACATTGCTCACGCACACCCAGAGACCAGAAACGCTGCGGAAAAAGATGATTTTACACCAAACGAGGATAAGCTTCCTGTTTCTATTTTGCGCAATGGCATTTCTAAAAGCAATTGCAACAAAAGAAAACTTGACGAAGTTAAACGAACGACACAAGACAAATCAGTCAAGAAAATTTCTCTTGATGAGTACAAGAAGAGAGTTGGAAAGAAAGAAAAAGATGTAAATAACATTACTATTAAATTGGAATGTAAAACAGAAAAATTAGATGATACGAAACAAGGCTCGGACTTAGATTTAGGTTATGATTCAGATTCTACGATGATACTATAAGTTTATCTTCTTACATTCATTAATTGTATGAATGAGCATTTGACAAAGTATATTTTGTCGGTATGGACGGTAGTAGTTGATATTGGATATTTGACATTCGCTACACGCTCGCATCTGTATGCTCAAAATAATTCCCCAATTGAATGATATTCAAAAAAATGTGAAGTTTTCTGATACGAACGTAGAATGTTCTTCATTAGATGCTCCGGGTGGTGGAGACGCTGCTTTCGGACCAGTTATGCCATTGAATTATACCATTAATGGTATAAGTGGTACTTACTAACCTGTTTATTTATACCTGTAATGATATAGGTGGTACTAGTTTATACCATTGGATAATAAATAATGGTATTTACCTGTCCCATTTAAAGTGTTAATATTAAACTATTTTTAACTTTAGCGTATTTATTGGAGTAAAAGTACTTTTAATATAAAACATATGAACAAGTTGGGCAATAAGCGACTTCAAAACTTTGCTTAACACGGATTTATCCCTTATTTTGCCACACTTATACTACGAAAGTTTATGTGACTAACTTTTAACAATGATATAATTCAATGGTATAAATGGTCTCAATCTGTCCCACTTATACCATTTAGAGTATAAGAGGGACAGGTAAGTACCATTTGTACCATTATTTGTTATGAAAATGGTACAACTGCGATAAACTAGTGCCACCTATACCATTACAGGTACAAATGGGACAGGTTAGTACCACTTATATCAATAATGGTATAACTGGTATGAAGACGAGACGCTTTGTATGTGTTTATTAATTCTTTACCTTTGGAGACGGTTGAAAAAGCTGCAAGGTTTTTCGTTACCTCTTACAGGTATTACGCTACATTGACAGATTTTATTACTAAATATTACTTTCAGTTGTTATTGCATTAGGAAATACTTCAAAAGAGAGACGAATACATTTAATATCGTCCATAATTTATCAATTTACGCCTGTTTTTTTGTAATTATCAAATTTTCAATCAATTATTTTACAAAGAGGGACATTTATTTTGTTTAAAGGATTGACATGTTTTTACTTTTGATGACCGAAGCTGGTAATTCGGTTATTATAAACAATACAATAATATGAAGTAGGCATAAAGTTATAAATTTTCCAAACATGCTTGTATACCTACAGGTATTTTGACATAATTTTGTATATATGCCGTGCGCAACTCGCCAGCACTACCTCAGATTCTTAGGTACACAGTTTGTCTAGATAATGGAATTATTATACGGAAGATTATTTTCTATATTCCAGAAAATACTCTTCGAATCATCGGATTATTGCATTCTTCCTGACAATCTATGTACCTAGACATGTTTGCCATTGTGCTTAGATTATATATTTAAACAAGTACCTCGCTATATGGTTTATGAATTGGATAAAGCATTTTTTTTTCTATTTTTGTTAAGTAATTTTAAGTCTATTCATACCTAATACTTAATATAAGGTTTACAGTTTACAATAGATATCATATGCTGTATTTGCATTATTATAATGCAAATAGTGTTAATTAATTCTCTGCCTTCAAGAAACTTGAGCTTAGAGCGCCTTCCAGTTAGACGCTTATAGAAACGCAACTGTGACCCTGCATCCGCGCCACTACTAATTTTCATACAATATTTAGAAGCGCAGTTGCAGCGCCACTGTCGTGACACTGAAGCGCTTCAACAAGCGTCTAGTTTGAAGGCGTCTTTAATAGAAATGTTAAACAGGTGTAAGAAAAAGCACCCACAAACTTATACAAGTTGGCCCGGATGTGATGGTCAAAACGAAATGAGGAGGTAGTAGGTAAGTAGGGTTCAGTATTTCCAATCGATTTGATTAATACACTGTGATCCGGAAGTTTACGGTTCAAAAGAAATTCAACAATAAAATCAGTAATTTTCAGGTAAGTTTTTTGTACCCAATTTTGGTGACAATTTTTATTATTTAAGTATATATTCTATAAATTTTTAAATAAAAAGAAATTCTCATCAAAATTGAGTACAAAAAACCTGAAAATTACCCGAAACAATTGTAATACGCTACACTACCTCCTCATTTCGTTTTGACCATTACTTCCGGGCCCCACTGTGTATATCTAATGCGACGTCCCCAGAAATAAACTTTATAATAACAATAATAACTTTGTAACAATAAGGCTTGTTAAGGGGTTCAATCCATGAAATGAATGCCAAAAACAATTACGGAAATTAAATTTTTGCTTTAAGGCTGGTTTCAAAGCTGTGCGTGCGGTCCGTACGGACTGTCCGCCTGCGGGCCATCCGCATGTGTAGAATCCGAAGTGCTCTGAATCGAGTATTTAATTTACTGCGGATATTCACAGAAGACAGTCGCCTACAATGAACACACGGGTGGCTTGTGCGGAGTTCTCGTGGAGCGTCTTCCGTACGGAGCAATCCGCGTCACTGTAAAACGATATTCTAACGCCACACGGTGCTCTGCGCGGACATTATGCAGATAAATCGGCACTGTTCTGAAACCATGCCAATTATATGTCTTAATAAAGCTACATGTTATTTTAATTTCTATTGTAGTCTGTATTGCTTACAATGCATTGTATCGTTCCGATTGCAGATAACATTATCTCGATTATTTTCAGCATTCGTGTGATATATTGAATTGGAGCCCGTGCTATTCTCTACAATAAAAATCATGTTACATGTTCTTGCAATTAAAGTGGATTTTCGGGGATGAACCGCGCTCACTTTGTGTGGAAAGTGAGAAAGTCAACTCATTTTCAAAACGATGCTGCAACTTTTAAATTTCGAATGAATTATTCTGTATATCCGACATCCGACCCATAATGTGTATCATTACGTCTGCCTCTACAAACTGAAGTATAATTTAATTAAATTATTCAGTAGTAAGTCCATCGAGTTAACTATGCAATAGGTAAGTAACACCCATTTGATTGGTTAGTTTGAAATGTCTATTGAATTTTTAACACGAATGGACACTTGTATATTTATTATGCATTTGACATTTCATTTTCAAATCGTTTTCTTCAATTGATCTCTATCATTTGGGACAAAGTTGTTGTCTAATACTCTGGCCACACCGCCGCGCGTTTGTGTGGCAGGGTTCATATTATAAACTCGTACATTACAAAAATTCCCGTATCCGGAACGCCTCCGCGGCCGCCTTGTGGCTTGAGCATTAAAGTAGGTTAAGGAAGGTTTACACAGGTGTCCCAAGAGAAAAACTTTAGGCATTTTTGGAAGTATTCAAGGAATCCAAATATTTTAAAAATGGTGAGGTTTTTACAAAAGACGTAAATTCGATTAGTTTGAAAGGTTCTTCCTTCTATTTTTGAGACACCTGTGTGTACCTTATGAACATTACCAGGATAAAAGGTCTTGTCAAATCAAGATTTACTATGGACAATAATGGTCCCGTGTACCAACTTATACTGGGAATGTTAACCGCATTGACCGTGTAGTATACCTACACCTACGATGCGAATAATAAAATTTTGAATTACGTAGTATTTTCCCTCAAAACTATATCAGGTATTTACTCTTAATAAGATGATCTCGCAAAAAGTTTGGAAGGATGATGCTTACGAAAGTCATTTCGTATATTAGTTCCGTACATCTGCCGTCTACTATTTAAAACGCGGTTAAGTGACAATGGTCAGGATATTTGACCATTGTCACTTAACCGCGTTTTAAATAGCAAAAGCTGACGATGCATAGCTGAAATATGATTAAACAATTTCAATGTTCTAAAACTGGGTTATGGTTTTTTATGATATCAAAAAATTATTTCGTCACTTGGCCGCATTTTTGGAGCGGACGGCAGACATGTTTAAGAGAAAATGTACGAGTGTTGATTTTGGATAAGCCTTTTATAAATGATTATACTTTTGTTGAATACTCGGAGAAAATAAAAGACTGCTTTTGTAAAAAAATTAGTTTTCATTTCTAAATCATTATTTTTACGGTTTTCATAAGGAAAAAAGACGACAAAAGTTTTTAATATACAATGAGCAACTTACTTAACGTTGAAAAGTATGATGTGCAACAGACAATCAAAATCAATAACTAATACTTATGCAAATTAAAAATTCTTCCCAAAATTGCTTCTCGATTGTTATTTATAGATGCAATAGCTTTTTCGCAACCCGAGTTGTGGCAACAATTAATCTAGCCAACGCTCAGCCACCTTGTTGCAATAAATCTGCCGGATTAAGCCGGATTTGGTACACAGAGTTAGAATCAGCTGGAAGTCTTACTCCTTCGTTCTTACTAGTTCAACAATACCCTCGTGGAATTGACGAAGATTTTGACGGAAAACAATATCTTCAGAATACAGTCAGATAATAACCTTAAACATGCTCGGGATTTTTTTTACATTACTTTCAAAAAAGAAAACAAAGTTTGTCAGTAAAAAAAAGAAAATGGCGGTAACATTTAAACTGAAGTGTTTTGGTTTTCTTGTGCTTTTTCGTCTTTTTTGTATTTTGGTCGCGAAAATGAGTGCTAGTGAGAAGAGCGATAGTGAAAAATCAGTAATAGATACACATCAAACACATCTTAAGAAGTTCAGCAGACTAATATTAATATGCCTGGAAGAACTATAACATTTTCTTTAAGCAATTGTCCTTAAACATCAAATATTGCTTTTAATATATATTTTTTTTACTTTTCCTAATAAACATCATCCTCTTTTTAGTCTTTTATTATTTCCTCACATTGTTTGAGAAAAATACTATACATGCCTCGGCGGGAACGGCGATTGCTTGACTCTTATTAATACAAGGCCTCGCTGGCGCTCGTCTTTGTAACTCATACTCGTCCAGCAATACCTTACTACCCGGCCTCTGCAGTAATTTACTATTCTAGTCATTGCAATCTAGGTATGTGCAAAGATTTGTGGCTCTCGGGTATTACAAAATATACCTAATGGTAAACGTACCTAAAAATATACAAAAAATGCGATGTCGATCGCCTGCTTCTTACACATTTATTTAGGTACTTTTGACTGAGCACACATGTTGTTCTGCAAAGAATACGAGGTCAATCGTCAAGAAATCGAGCAAATCTGTAACCTCCTTAATCATTGTGTTAGGAATGCGTTCCTGTATTAATAGTACTTCGATTTTGTAATATCGTAGATATAATAATAGTCCGCCATCGTCTCATATCAATGGCATCTTCCTTTTTTCTCTAAATCTCCGTCGAAGTAGGTTAACGCATTTCCCCGGGCTCACAATAAGATTATGAATATCATCTGAAAAATTACTGTAAGCCTTATCAAATTTATTCAACAACATATCTCAAATAAATCGACTTGCTCTTAAGGCCACGTTTAGGCATCAGGTAAAGGTAGAGTAGATGAGTAGATGGCAATAACACACGTGTAGTCTTAAGTCTGTCAGTCGTACGTTACAACCTCAGCTTTAACATATAGCTTTGTTGAGTAATTTAGAAACGCTTCCAGTCTTGCTTGCACACAATTCTGTTTTGTGTGAAATTCAAAAGTATTTATGATAATACACATTATTTATGATACCTACTAAGTGACGAGACGAAAAAGCTGCGCCTGGTGTTAAGCGACCTATGTAAGCGACACGCCTTTCTATAGCAGTTGCAATGTCACTCAGAGCTTTAAATCGCAAAGATCTGAGTGGCACTGCCATTGCACCCATCTCACTCTGAGACTTAAGTTCACAGGTCCCATGTGCCTTCAATTTCAACCAGCACCCTTAAGGGCAAGCACTAGGTGTTGCCAGCGACTCGTTCGCGTAAAATTTTTACAATCATTATATACTATCGAGTTCTTAGGTTTTCGCGATTGTTACACATTGGAAATGAAACTATTTTTCCGGATTTAAATCGCATATATTTGTTTTTTCAAACAAACCGACGTTTCGGGCCCTTACAGATCCCATGGTCACCGTTGATTGAGGTGGTACAGTCTTCAACCAGTTATCCATGTATCCAAGTCCTTGCAAAAGAAATCCGTTATCTACCCAGTATGCTGCGAGAGGGCATTTAAATTAAAAAACATCCTAATTTCAACAGGGAAGATGGTTTCTCCGTACCACCAGTTTGGGATCCAGTATTTCCTCTAATGAAAAATCCCAGACAGGCATAAGACTGCAGTACTAATTAATATGTTTTAGTTTATTCTAATTTCTATTATTAATTAATAATAAATTGAACTTAATAAAAATTCATTCAATAAAATAATTTGTAAAACTCAATGTAGCGTAAATTGGAATGTTTCTTTGTAAAATTAAAAATAAGGTATTTAATTAATAACTATAGTGAAAAAATAGAGTGGTTTGCATCAATATTAGACATAACTGGTTGAAGACTGTACCACCTCTGTGACCATGGGGCCTGTAAAGGGCCCGAAACGTCGGTTTGTTCGAAAAAACAAACATACGCGATTTAAATCCGGAAAAATAGTTTCATTTCCAACATTATATACTACTAAAACCAATGAGAAATATAAATTTCGGCTTCGCGCAGACGTTTGTATCTAAAATAGATAGATATACACATAATACCTAAATTATTAGATAATAGCGGTTACACAAGGCGATTTTCAGCGGCGATGCAAACTCGACGCCAGTTTCGTACGTATCGCTGCTAGGAGTCGCCGTGTGTAACCACTCTAAAATGTAAAGACATGTCACTTGTGTTGACCAAAGGTATAATTCGTCAGTGCCACGCCTGTCACGCGTAGTATTGTAGTTGATTTGTCATTTACTATTTCAATAGGTTGGGTACTTATTAATTTAATTTTATAAATAGGTATCACGTAGATCCTACTGGCTTATAGATAAGTACATTTATTATTATGTGATATGCCTCTGATTCAGCCTCTCTTAAGGGTTGTTGCATACAAACGTCATTAATACATTTTTATTATTTGCAATTTCCAATATTTAACTTTCAAGTTTGCAAATCTGAGGATACAATTTTCAATAGAAAAAAAAAGTCTAAATATTTTGATACACAATTTACCCACAGGGGTATTGTAGCGTCTATCAATGTCCATAATTGATTAGATACTAATTACATCGAACCTAATACCCATGTCTGAATTTGAAGTAACTGCGAGAAGGAAGAGTCTCGTAGACACATTCTTGTTCAAGTTTTGCCGGATCTAGGATCTTAGTCTTGGTCTTGCTGCAATTAGGTGACCTTTGTATTGGTTTAGGACCTTCAAGACTACTGATCCGAGGCCAAACCCAACAAGTGTGTGAATTTTCGTAAAATGCGTTATCCAATTCATTATAGAGTCCTTTTCAGGATCTTTTGTACGGTGGAATACAATAAGCAGATTTATGAGAAACCCGGTACATTAGACCATAGAAAAGTGCATGAAGTTACTCTGCTGATTCAGCGACACGTAGTGGGTTTTGGCCTCAGGTCATGTACTCGTTCTCCGTCCGAAACAAAATTGCTGTCAAATAAATGATACTCGACCAAAAAAAAATCCAATATCTTGCTGGGCGTGTTGGTTAATCTGTAAGTCCGCAAGAATTTCTTTATAAACAATGAAACTCCGTATTTGACATCAAAGTATTACTTATTCGACAGTAAATGAATGCCACGACCATTGACTTACAATTATATGGAAGTCAGGTCCGCGCTAAAAAGTGTCCGAACTTACAGAGCGTTAAAATCGTGTACAGAGCGTCATTCACGCTTTAGTCTTCGTTTGTTCGACTGACAGCGAAGCAAGCAAAATTGGCAAGTACTGCGATGACATTACAATTTAAATTCAACGTTTTACCTTTTTCATATTCCTTTACATGTCACTACGTTTAAATAGGTTGACTTGGGACAATTTTTTCGTGGTTTTTGTATTAGACCCGTCGTCCATTTATTTGTAAGTCAATGGTCACGACGGACAACGAGAGTAGATCCCCACGAGATGGCGTCTGTGTACCCTGTCTTGTGCGATCTCCTAGTTTATGCGTTCAGGACGCAGTGGTCTTTCTCCAATTCGTCCCTCCATTGGTATTTGGGCCGATCAATGAAGTTATAATTAATATTGAAAATCTACAATTCATGAGTTTGCTAAGACGTAACTGCAAAACGTTTTTAGCATATAGCAATTTTTTATAAATTTAAAACGTGGCGGTGCAGCAATAACTTTATCTGTACATCGTGTACATCACATGAATCACGACGTTCAAATTTACGTATGGAACCGATTTTGATGTTCTTAAAATGTAGCGGCGACATTACCTTGTCAGAATAATAGAGTAGTAGTTATACGACTTGATAATGTGTGTGTGTAGACATCCAGGTATAGACTGAAAAAGATAATGCTGAATATTCATTGTGAAAATGCTGGATATTTCTTATATTCTTAAGGCCTCTTGTCCTCACGATCCGTCGTTTGAGACTGATTGAAACGATGAATCGATAGTGTATGTTTATGTCGTTAACGATTAAATTGAACGCCAGGACAGCAGCGACAGATTGATACGATAACCGTGGCGAAGAATCGTCTGTATATGGGGACCTTTAGAAGATATGGCGTGTCATTGGAGACCCGCGTGTACCAGTGGGATGCTGTTGCTTATGAGTTAGTCTATTGAAGAAGAACATAATGCACTTAAGGGTTTTACGCC